GTCTTTTTGAGACAGGGTCTCCCTGTAGCCCCAGCTGGCCTGGAACTCACTATGTAGACCAGGCTGGCCTTGAACTCACAGAAATCCACCTGCCTCTGCCTCCCAAGTACTGGTACTACAGGCATGTGTCACCGTGCCCAGAAAGAAGCTGGGTGTATGTGGCAGCCAGCCTGGGATCCCCAGAGCAAGCCAGCTAGCAGACTAGCCAAAATAGGTGAGCTCTGGATTGAGTGGGAAACCCTCAACATAAGGTAGAAAGTGATTTGAGAAAGATACCTGACATCATCCCTGGACCTCCTCATGCATGCACACACATGAACATGCAACTGTGTGTGTACACCACACACATGCACACAAATGTGATTTTTTAAATTTTCCTGAATACAAGGAGTTAATAACTAGAAATTGTTTAGCCATTCTTTCCACACTAAAAGCTTAACTTGTATGCCTCTTGATGATAAGCCTTTGTGTTCAAAGCAGCAAATATACTTTATTCATGGCTGCCTTTGGTTCCTGAGCTAATTTTGTATCACAGGTGCGAGATTTACTTTAATTACGAAGATGAACAGCTGAGGAGGTCAGCCTGTTACCCATCTGGTCCTAATCCAGGCAAGAGGCTTCCATGCCCCTTGCCAATATTTACAATTGTCAATGGCCCTGACTTTTCGAGCTGCTGGATTTTAATCTCATCTGCCAATGCAGAGCTACTGGAAGATTCTCTGACCCCCTCAACACCTCCTCATTCCCCCGCCATACCCAGATATTGACATCTCCCTTCAGTAAGAACATGCTCCCTGAGTAAGCGCATTACTCAGCTGACCTCCAGGTCTAGAGACCCTCCTGTGTCTTTCATACCCTTACCCCCCTTACCCTTTGGGGGCCAGGGTAGGGAGAGGTGGCTTTAAATTGTCATTTCAGGAGGCTTTTGATGAAAGAGGAAGGAAAAGATGGTTGAGAAGAAAAAAATCTGTTCACTCATATAGCACTCTTTTTTTTTTTTTTTTTTTGAGACAGGGTCACCCTGTAGCCCCAGCTGGCCTGGAACTCAGTATGTAGACCAGGTTGGCCTTGAACTCACATAGATTTGCCTGCCTCTTACCACTCAGTTCTGACACTCTGTGTGTGTGTGTGTGTGTGTGTGTGTGTGTGTGTGTGTGTGTATGTGTTTTCTTTTAAGCAAGTCTTCAGCAGACATCACAAAATCAATTGCACCACTGTCCACCTGGAGGTAGTGTCTGGTCTCACAAGTTAAAGGCCCAGACCTACTTCAGATGCAAATTGCAAGCAGTAGTTTGCTACCTATGATGTCAGCGGACTGAAAATTGGAGCTCTTGCTTTTGTAATTTCATTAATTTGCTACAGCAGTTCACGGGGCCCGGGGAAACACGTTTACCAGCTTGTTAGAACAGTTAGTACAAAGGACACAACAGCCAATGGGGGGGTGCTTAGGGCAAGATGTGGCAAGGGCAGCCTTCAGACCCTCTGGACACTCCGTCTTCCAAGAACCTTCACACCTCAGCTCTCAGGAAGCTCTCCAATTGTGTGTGTGTGTGTGTGTGTGTGTGTGTGTGTGTG